GCCTACTTTTTCACAAATGAGTCATCTACACAGTATTTATGGTTTGGACAACGAGGAAACTACACGATCGAAGATTTAAATGCAATAAAAATATTAATATTGATATTTTCAGAGAGTATTATAAGCCGTCATCTTGCAATATCATGCGCTGACATTGAAAAACGTATAGGAGAATGGTTTCGATTGAGCCGCCAAAGGCTCAAAGGGGAGATGAATAAGAAAAAAGATGCTGGTACCCAATGAATGATGAACAGACAAGAGAATGAATTCTGAGTTTTGTTAATGCTCAACAAATTGTGGTTTGTGCAATCAAATACTTCAGTTTTATGTTAAATGCTGACTGATAGATGACAAAAAGAAATTATGATTTTTTTTATGCCAAATTTGAAGTATATGTCAGTTTCATAATAAAGGGTGACACTAATTTGATTGCAAAAAATTAAATTTTGTGAACTCCAACCATTTCCAGAAGAGTAGCAGGTGTTTAATATGTGATATATCATCTATTCTGTTTAGGACATTTTGTTTTTTTGGGACTACATAGATATTTGAATGTTCAACCTATGATTTTATTACAATTCTTTAGTTTCGTCACAGTCTGCAGAAACTGATCAAGAATGCTTGATCAAATAATGTTTGGAACAGAAAGTCTTTGAAAATTTTAAATTTGGTTCTTCTGTACAATCATGTGGAGAGAAAAAAGTGCCAACTAAACCATCAAGCATTTTATTATCTGTCTCTGGTACATTTTTCCCAAACAATCAAAAATTGCCAAATAACCCCTTTCGCACACTAATAAACCCACTTCCAACTCATATGCATATCTCAATAAATATATATCATCATCATCACTATAAGTATAACCTAATACGTAGTGAATTTCACTAGTTCGGACTTCCATTGTCTACTATATAAAATGATTTGAAATCCCTGAAACAAGTAAAAAAAGGATAATTTAGGAAGCACATTCTAGCTCGTAATCGATTTGCTGAGTTTCATTAATTTATTCCTTTTAGTCCGGGGGCTACGACGAAAAGGGTCTTTTTATTTTGCAACTTCAACGCCCTGTATTTCTGAAACACCCTGTAGATTGTTTTCATAACGTTTCAGCAAAGTCTTATTTGTCATCTTCTGGTGATGCCTGTAGTTTCACAACTAGGGAAGACGGCAAATGAGACTTTATCGAAACTTCACCGAGACTTTACCGAAACGTTGTGGAAATGATCCTTATGAGAATAAAAAACACAGAACATGGATCGAGAAATCACATGATATTCCAGAATATTCTGGGATGTACTGTAGTGCTTTGGACAAAAATTACTCTCGAAATGAAGAGAAAAAAATCCGGATTGCTAGGCCATGGTCGTATGGGACCTGGAGTATCGAATGTTTCGTCTGCTACTGCGTTACATCCTGAAGCCTCTGCAATGACAACAATCAGTGTTGAACTGATTTAAGGTTTCATTCGAACACGACCTACTAGCCTGCGTTTTGTTCTCGTTAATCGTGACCTGGGCCGTGAAAGCCAATGTTTCTTGGAACATTCTCGAATGTACTGAGCCGATCCGAGCGGGTGGGAAATCCAGCTTCTTTATCATGAGCCCTTCAGTCAGAAAACCTGAACTCATAAGTTTCGAATATGCATCTAGTCATTCACTATATTAAACTGTTTTCATGAAAACCATTAATATGTAAAAGACATGACATTTGTAACAAACATGACAGAGAAAAATGCAAACATTGTTTATATTGATCATAAGGTAGCGTTTCAAAGTGATGGAGAGTTCAGATCATTGATTTGAAGTAAAAATAAATTTTTTTTGTCACTCTGTCATTTGGAATCAGATTGAGCGGGAGAAAAAATATACAGCATTCTTTTCTACCCAGACACAGACATATAATTGGGTATTACATGTATTATATTCAAAAAACAAACAATGCATTCCTGTAAAGAAAAATTTTGAAATGATCTCTTATGAACAACGACGGGCTTCGTAAAAACTCGTTAATATATCTGGGCTGACTTACTGCATAGATCTAGCCTGATTTCAAAACGTGATCCACTGCACCTTTCCAAAATGGTATCTACTAAGTGTAATTGCGTCTTTCCAAGAAAATCATTCTTATTTGACAAAATGGTTTAGACTTTCACGGCTGAGGTTTTCAGTTTCATTGCTTTTCGAATTTGGAAGCCATGGATTTTTGGAATTTCTTCCTGACGTTTCGCTGGCGCGAGTGGCTAGCTCCTTCAAAGGTTTAACCATCATGGCTTGCTGTCCGATGACTACCTTTTAGGTTTCGTGAAGCGTATTTATGCCTTGTCAGGTGATCCGTTGTATCTGTACCTGTATTTGTACCTGCTCTTGTACCTGTAGACGTACCTGCACTTGAACCTGGAACATTAACAATCTCGCTGCCTATTGTCCTGTTCGTTATTCTTGAATTCCTTGAAATGGGGTTCCATAATCTATTAAGCTTCACCGTTTCTTTTTTTCTGTTGAAATTATCCGTGTGTTTGTGAATCTCTATCGCCTCTCGTACCAGTTGGCTATGGTATCCCTGGATGGGGGCAATTAGTTCTGCGTTTTCAAACAAAATTCTGTGATCTCCTTCACTAAGTGCGTGTTCTGCCACAGCTGACTTGTCCGTTTGGCCTAGTCTACAGTTCCTTTTATGCTCTTTTAGTCTTGTTCCCATGGATCTTTTGGTGGTTCCGATATATATCTTTCCACACGTGCACGGTATGCGATAGACCCCTGCTGCTGATAATGGGTCTCTTTGTCTTCTGCCGACCTAAGACTTTGTTTTATCTTCCTCGTGGCTTTGAAGACTGTTTTGATGTCGTGTTTGCCCAATAGTTTTCCAATTCTGTTCGTGACCCTAGGGATAAACGGTAGATATGCGCGTGCAACCATCTGATCCTTTTTCGCTTTCTAAACCGTGGTGCCCTTCAGCCGTGGTGCCGTGGCTTTTCTGGTCTCGGAGGCACTGTATCCATTCGATTTCTAGGCCACTTCAAGGTATTTCAGTTCCCTCTCCAGATGTTCTGGTTCACATATTCTCCGAGCCCGTTCAGTTAGAATGGAGATGACTCCTCTCTTTTGGCTTGGATGGTGGTTCAATAGTGCGTGCAAGTATCTATCTGTGTGTGTGTACTAGATGTACTAGTAGAACGATGTGGTACCAGATCAACCCACAAAGTTTATCGAAAACCCACATACACAGATAGATATTTGCACGCACTATCGAACCACCATCCTAGCCAAAAGAGAGGAATCATCTCCACTCTAAGGGAACGGGCTCGGAGAATATGTGAACCAGAATATCTGGAGAGGGAACTGAAATACCTTGAAGTGACCTTGAGATCGAATGGATACAGTGCCTCCCAGACCAGAAAAGCCATGAAACCGAAGGGCACCACGGTTCAGAAAGCGAAAAAGGATCAGATGATTGCACGCGCATATCTACCGTCAATCCCTAGGGTCATGGAATTGAAAAACTTTTGGGCAACCACGACATCAAAATAGTCTTCAAACCCACGAGGAAGATACAACAAAGCCTCAGGTCGGCAAAAGACAAAAGAAATCCATTATCAGCAGCAGGGGTTTATCGCATACCGTGCACGTGTTTAAAGGTATATTTCGGAACCACCAAACGATCCATGGGAACAAGATTGAAAGAGCATAAAAGGAACTGCAGACTAGGCCAAACGGACAAGTCAGCTGTGGCAGAACACGCACTTAGTGAAGGAGACCACAGAACTTTGTTTCGAAACATAGAACTAATTGCCCCCAACCAGGGATACCATAGCCGACTGGTACGGAAGGCAATAGAGATCCACAAACACAAGGATAATTCCAAGAAAATAAAAAGCGGTGAACCTTAATCGAATATGAAACCCCATTTTAAGGAATTCAAGAATAACGAACAGGACAACAGGCAGCAAGATTGTTAATGTTCCAGGTTCAAGTGCAGGTACGACTACAGGTACAAGAGCAGGTACGAGTACAGGTACAGATACAATGGATCACTTGACAAGGCATAAATACGCTTTATGAAGCCTAAAAGATAGGCATCGGACAGCAATCCATGATGGTCAAACCTCTGAAGAAGCTAGCCACTCGCGCCAGCGAAACGTCAGGAAGACATTCCAAAAATCCACGGCTTTCAAACTCGAAAAGCAATGACACGGATCATTCTCATTTGTCGAAAAATTAGAATTATTATTCATTCAACGTACCTGTCAGAACTTTATGAAAGTCTAAAACACTTTGTGACAACTCTTCATAGAGCTCAAATGGAAAGTTTACATTTCCCCACTTGACTTTCAAACTCCACACTTTTACTGAATGCTCTGCATATTGGAAAATCTCTCAAATGATGTCTGAATTTTTCAAATGTAATATATTTTTTTTATTTCCATCCATTGCATATAAAAACTGTAGTCATTCGAAATCGTTATTGTATTGAAATTACTAGTTTCTATTTCAGTCATCCAAATAGTTTATGCATATTTCATTGGATGTAGAAGTATTGCGACAGTGTGTTCAAGCAAAATATGATCACCGAACGGCGATCAGAGAAAATTGCTTTTTGTAAAGTGAAGTTAATTTTCATGATGTTATTTTCCTTTCAATTCCTCTCAGTCTCCGTTTTCAGGAGATTTTCACCTCACAAAACGGGTTTTCAAGAGAAAATATCTACTTCTCTCGTTCCTGATAATACAAGAAGGTTAAGAGACTAGAATATTTTGTCTTGATGGCAACACTACACATACCATTATCATAGTCACTTTCTGATGATGCGAAACATGCTTCAAAATAATTGATATAGTTGTAGCGTGTGAGAGAAATGTTTATGTAATATACAACTTCCAATCGAGAATAAGAGTGATGATTTCTTTGGGAAAACAAAAAGAAGTTTAGACTAGTTACTTCATATGATAACATTATATAATACTCGCTTACTACATGTAAAATGATTTTATTACATCGACTCACCAAATATCCATCGCCCTAAAACGGTATACGCCACATTAAATGGAAGGACAAGGAGAGCCACGGTCAGGTCGGCCACAGCAAGAGAGATGATGAAAAAATTCTGAACTATTCGCAATGGCTTGTAGGTAAAAACGCTCAAAATCACGAGGACGTTTCCTATTACTGTGAGTAGGATGAAAAGGGACAAAGTTCCTATTGTGATGATCACTTCCCATTCAGGAATGTCTGTTGAACCGAATATGGTGGAGAAATTGCCGTACGGCTCATCGGAACAATTGTTGTGTTCTTCTCCCATTATTTCATCGTGCTTTTTGAACGACACAGGACATATCTGAAACAAAAGAGGGCTTCAGTTATCGAATGAAACAGAGAGCTGAGAATTATTTTCAAAGTATTTCCCAACAACGGATTCGTTCGACCATTTCGTTTCATACAGGATGAGTAACATTTAACAACTTGAGCTTTTTCTGTGAGCTTCTTTTGAGCTTGGAAGTGAACCATTAAGCAATATTTTTTTTTCAATCCAATTCATTCACTCACATTCAGAAATAATATGAAACGCCTCTTCACTGTGAAGGACTTCAATATTGAATCAATGAACTGAAAAACCTACATACTATTCTTGAAAAAATTGGTTAGTTGATGAAAAGTTATTTTCAATGAAAATAATTGATCATTATTATCACTGTCAATAATTTGGATCGTTAATTTTGGTTTCTGGAGATCTTCCGGTACAATATATCTCATTTTCCAATGGATGCATTTCTGATGAGCTTGCTTCAATCAAAATGAGCTTCAGCTTCATATTCAGTAGACCCTTGTTGAAATTTTCAGAAACACGTGTGATGGTACTTCAAGAGTAATCATCGCTGAATACTTGGCTGACCAAATCCAGTATATTTTGTTCCACTGCGTAAACATTGCATTCGTAGTAACGAATAAGCATGTGTTCATCCGAAAGATGGCGTAGTGAAAGCTATTTCGGTCTTGCGATGGATTCATTTGATGAAAATATATGTATATGCTGAAGAAAATGGAGATCATAGGAACATTTACAAAGTGACCAACAATTATTCGAAGTATGTATAGATACTCAACAAATTTAGGCCTGGTGTAACGCAAACTCCTTGTGCTTCAACCTGAACAAAACAAAACAATTCGAATTTGAATAACCACTACATAGAAAACAAACAGCACACTAAATTCCTAGGCATTCAGATAGACAATAAATTAAATTTTGAAGAACATGTATCCCATCTGAGTGAAAAAGTATCTAGTGGAGGTTATGCTATTAGAGTGATATCAAATGAACTAGGATACACTACAGCTAGAATGACTTACTTTGCACTGATCGAATCTCATATTCGTAATGGAATAACGTTCTATTACGAGAGATTCATCAGCCACAAAATATTAACTGTCACTTGTTTAAATATAATGGAAACAGTATGCCCAATTCATAAAAATGAAACTAGCATGTACACTCCCGGAACAAATTGTCACAACACCAGACAGAACCATATGCTTCACTAACCTGTTCCAAAATTCACCTTGACTCAGCATTATCTGATTTATGAAAGTATTAAAGTATATAATCACCTTCCTACCATTATAAAAAATAGCACAGATATCAAAAAGTTCCGAAGTACAGTTAAAGATCTTTCAATCAAAAAAGCTTATAATTCGATACATGAATTCTACCATGATAACCTATAATGTTCACCTAAACTGATATGTCTTGTTAATGTTTTATTTGTGAAATTGCTATGTCTGTATTTTTTATATTTTATGTCATGTATGTTTTATTAGTGAAATTGCTATATTTGTATTTTTTATATTTTATGTCATGTATTGTATTTTGTATTTTTCATATTTCATGACATTCATTTGATTTTTTTACAAGACTTTGTCAATAAGATACTAATCTTCCGACAATAAAGCATATTGATTGATTTATATTCCATAATGGTCCTAATTTTTTCTTCGTCCATACTTATGCCTTCAGTGTCTAATAGCCTAAGAAAGCAACTTCTGTTTGATTAAATATAGATTTGTTAATATTAATTTTCAATCCTGCATTGTCCAATTCATTTATCAATAAATTAATATGTTTCAGGTGACTTTCTTAGTCTGTGGAATATATTATAATAAAGAATAAAAGCATTGCATTTATCTAGGATTGTATGGATTGTCCTAACCAAAGCTGAACAAGAACTCTGTACACCATATAGAACTACTCTAAATCTATACAAGACTCCATCTAATGAAAATGCTGTATAATCCCTACTGTCTTAATGAAGTGGAATTAACCAAAAACTATGTTTTAAATCTATTTAAGCATTTATAATGCTTTCAAAAATTGCATCAATATTTAAAGGTGCCTCGTATTGAGGTGTAGTATATTTATTATTATTTCTAGCATCCAAACATAATCCTAATTCACCATTATTATTTTCTACTACAACAATAGTATTATTGTATTTTGAATTGCATCTCCCAAATATTTTATTTTCTAACATTGTTGTTATTTCTTGTTGAACTTGATTCCTATATTTATAAGGAATAGGGTATGTTTTAGACTCGAAAGTTTGTATACCATCAATCTGTATTTTATGAATATATTAATCCGTTACTCTATTTTCATAATTAATTGAATTTGGATATTCATTTGATAATGTTAATACTTTATCTTTCATTGCTTGCTCACATTCAATATCTAATATGGGTTTTTCATCTATTCGTTTGTTATTTACTTGATTTATAATATTAATGTTTATTTCGTATTTACTTCAATTATTGTCTATAAATTCAATAATTTCTTCCCCGATTTGTAATATTCCTTTGTCATAGTCAATTATTACGTTATTTCTGTCAGGTTCATCTGATCCAATTATTGCATCACATAGCAAATTGTGTATTATTAAAAATTGTATGGCAAATTCTTTGTTATTAAATTTTATAATACTATTTATTCTTTTGGTTACTTCATGTAACTTTTTATTATTTGCACCTACCAATACAGTTTTCGGCATACTGTAACACCAATGTTCCAAATTTAATTCCCTAATAATTTTTTAATTTCAGATCCTGTATCTATTAATAATTCAATATTTTTATCATGAAAGTTTCCTAGTATTTTTATAAGACCTCTAAGATTTCCTAATTCAAAAGTTTTTTCAATTTCTATAAATTTCCTAGGATGTTGATAATATCCAGCATATTGTATTTCGTTAAATTTTGTTGCTGGTAGGTTACTTACTAAAAATTTTGTTGGTTATTTGAGGTTTTCACCTCACTCTGTGTCTGTTACGTGTCTGTCCTAGTTTCAGTTCGTCTTATACTATTGATATGTCGTATTTCCTCTGTACTTCTACTTCTCATTTGTTGTCTAGACCTATTTTCCTGTTTTTCATTATTATAAGCCCAATCGTCTCTGTCACTGTTCCTATCTACACCTCCTCGTCTGTAAGTATTATTATTGTGATACCTGTTATTTTTGTTATTGAAACTATTTGGTCCAAATCTATTATTGTCATTAAGGTAAGTGATCATTGGGTCCGAGAATCATGTGCCCTGAGCAAGCGCAGTGAGCCAAGAATGACAACATTCTGCATCTGTGCGGCTAAGATTTCTGCCTTACTGCGGCAAGCCAGTATGACTTTAAGATTCGAAAGTGGAGAGGGTATCAATCCACCAAGGACTCCAATAATCAGAAAAACCATCTTGTCAGAGTGATCTGTATAGAGTCTGCGGAGTTCGAAAAGAAAATCTCGATATTTTATCCGTTTTTCCTCCTCTTTTCTGACGATATTTGTCTCGCCAGGAGCTGAAAACTCCACGACAAATATCGTTTTGCTCTGGTGGTCGAGAAGGACTACATCAGGCTCATCAGCTTGTATGAGCCTGAGGGTGGGGAACGAATAGTTTCAATAAATTCAGCACCTGTCGTTCCCCACAATGGATTCAATATCCCCCGGAGCGTAAGGCAACACCGGTATCTCGTCAATACCTTAGGAGTGCCGTAGATGGTAATATAGCACTTTCAGGACCGCGTTATATCGATGGATATAGGCAGAGATCGCATATGCTGGACATGCTGATAGCACTCTTCTCGATGCGGGTTTCAACAATCATGTTTGTTTTGTTTCAGTTTCAGGTGCAACTGAACTGACATATATATACATATACATATTCATATTATCAATAAATTATCTATTAGATCTACTCATCAAGAGAAGAACCCAAATATTCATTACGATAACCCGCTGAAGCAGTCACTTTTTTCCTATTCGACCAATTTTTTAAATATACCTGAAATTTTTCTACAAGAGAAAATGAAAGAAGAGTAATCAATAAAAATAAGTTGAATTTATCAATAATGCAATAAATAGAAGCAATTTTTCTATCCACATAAATAATCTAAATAATCTTTAGAAGACAATGTAAAAGAATGATAAAAGCCGAATTCTTCGAAACTATCTTATAAAATTCACTCATACAGTATAGGACACATAACCATGATAATTTAACATGATAGTAACATTAACGAAATGAGTGGGCATACTTGGATACCGGTTCATTTTGTTAAGTTTTCTTCCTCATACAAGGAATTGGTCAAATTTTGGATTAGCGGTTAGTTACCTCGTTCACGGGCAGTTGACAAACATATTGTTTGTTTTTCGCCCCTACATAGTTCGAGGAATGATACTCTGAAAGAAATTCGATTTTCAATTATCGAAAATCATCAACTTCATTTTGATGATAGACCTTGCATTGACGAGTTGTCAAACAGCCCAAAACCGGTCTGCAAGTGAGTTCCAATAATTGAAAATCGATTCCGGCAGTTGATCGCCATCAACATATGCAGAAATAACTTCAGTGAAGAATCCTGCACTGATACCTGTCGGATATAATACAACACCCTTCGTGGTATTAACCGGATGAATAGTTGTTTTCTGATAGGTGTCAGTCTATTTTTTGTATATGCGGTTGGTAACCTCGTTCACGGGCAGATGGGACGTTGAGACAAATATGTTGTTTGTTGTTCGCTTCTGGCTAGTTCTGAAAGGAATTTGATTTTCAATTATGGTAAATCATTGACTTCATGTTGACGATAGATTGTACTGACGAGTGGTCAAACAGCCCGAAATCGGTCTGCAAGTGTATTCCAAGAAATGAAAATCGATTTCGGCAATTTTATCGCCAAACAGCATAGGCAGGAATAACGTCAGTGGAGAATCCTGCACTGACACCTGTCGGATATAATACAACGCCATTCGTAGTGTTAGTCAGGAAAGTAGTTGTATTCTGATTGATGTCAGTTCATTAACC